AATCTTAAATTGAATCTGATTTATTTGTTAAAGGATATTTTGTATTCATAGTGTCATGTTCTATTGTAATTCAAAATTTCAAATTGCCGATATGAATATGAATTTGGATAGTTTAAAGAAACAAAATCCCTTATATGAAGAAATTTATTCCTTGAAAATACACATACTCTTTAAATTGCATAATCAATCAATTGATCTTAAAGTACACTTACTCTTGAAAATGCACATACTCTTTATTTTTTTTTATTAATATGCATAAAGTAAAAATAATTAATCTTCGGGTCTTTCCTCTCCTTAAAGTCGAGCTCAACGCTAGAGGTCATAACAGATGCTCGACTAAAAGGAGAGGTATTTTTTTATTAATATTCATAAAGTAAAAATAATTAATTCATCTTTAGATATATATAATTTATAATCTTAATGTACTATCATTTGGTGTAGACATTTATTATATGAATCATAAAATATTTTTATTTTATAAAATTAAATATATCTAAAAAAAATAAGGAAATTTCTTTCGATCAATCAGATGATTAAATTAAGGTACTGTCCAAGTTGATTGTTTTACTTTTAGGTGATATTTAAAATAGTCAAAAAAATTGACACAACTTGATTGGTCTCAAAGTGACTAAGTTATCTATCTGTTTGATCAGACCAATTCGATTATTGAACCTAAATATAAATTATAATATTAAAAATACTTTATTACGTGAATGTGATGTAAGCCAAACTTCAAATAATCATATTAACAATATTTTTATGACAACATGTTTAATAATTTATAAATATTTATATATCATTTTATTAATTATTTTGGGAATAAAATAATATTTTATTATAATTTTTATTAATGTGCAAGAAATATAAGGTTTTCAGAACCGGACCGTCATCGAAACGATCAAGTTATTTTATTAAATTATTTGTGCTCTGTTCAAATTTTAATTTATAAACATTTTAATATATATAACTCATCGAAAAGATCAAGTTATTTTATTAAATTATCTGTGTTTTGTTCAGATTTTAATTTATAAACATTTTTATATATATAATACCTTTTGTAATAAATTTAAAGAAAAGGTGATACTTAAATATCTAAACAATTTATAAATTCAAAATTTTAAACTATTGATAAAGAGTTTATAAATCTCCATTTTATTTAAATATGTAATTTTATATAATTTTAAATGTAACTAAATTTATGTAGAAAATCGATATCGATCCTACCAGTCAAACCAACTGGTGTTGACAGATTCGATAGCTAATATTTTATTCAAGCAACTAGACAGGTTATAAATCGGTTCTCGGTCCATCTGCCCGGACTGTGTCCAATCCGATTCAATTTAAAAACCATGGGTAAATTATGATTAATGTTATTTATATATTTAATTTAGAATACAATCGTAATATTGTTTCCCCGTGCATCGCACGGGCCACGCACTAGTTATGTTTAATGAGATATAGTTTAATGTGGCACTCGTGATAAGGAGGCCCGATCTTGCGGCACTCGTGATAACAACTTGATAATCTAGTCGTTGTGAATCACTGATGAGTTCAACTCATTTAATAAAAGAGGTCAATTAATTGTATGAACTCGATTTAGCTAAACAAAAGAATGAACCGAGCTCGAGCTTCTATCGATAAAATAGAACTGTATTCGCAATCATTGCTTAATTTAAATAACAATTCTATAATCACGCTTAATAAGACATAGTTTAATTTGGCACTGTAATAAGGAGGCCCAATCATGCGGCACTCGTGATAACAACTTGACAATCACATCCTCCGTGAAATCACTAACGAAATCCCCACAAATTTTGATCTGCAGGCCTATCAAATACCAATCACTTAAATAACCAAATGTAAAACCACGAGAAATTAAAATGACACATATAAAGCGATTAGATGATAATTAGCTTAGAAAACCAAGACATAATTAGTTAATCCAATTCTTAATTATGTTGAATTAAAAGGAGTATCCATCCATCTGTAAAGTAGCAATTAAATGCAATTACATAGCTGGTTTAAAAGTGGCTATCAACGTTTTGACATTGTACGTGATCCATGCTAATATGTGCAATTGCTTTGGCCAACATCTATTGAAATATTACGTTCATTTGCTTCACTACATAATGTACTTCTACTTTATTTATCAAAGTTTTATTTGGTTTCCTTAATTTTGGTAAACAATTGATGAAGGAATAAAGAGGAACCCCACTAATAAATTAGAAGGAAAAAAAGACTTATACCATTTAACATGTCAGATCATAATTGTCCTTGTGAATATTCAATCACTTATGATGATCTGGAAATTACTCGTAGAAAGCTCATATGAAACTAGTAAAGTACCAAAAAAATAAAAAATAAAAAAATGAATTTCACTCTAAAAGATCATCTTGAGTTAAATCTGTTAAATGAAACTAGTCGCTTGTGATTTTGGTTTATTGAGACTCAACGATAATAATTTTTATATAAATTTTATAGTTCGATTAATCAGACTTAAATTCAGCTTAAGCTCAACTCGTTAATATCACCACACGAGCTCGATTAAACAAATCCAAACTCAAATGTTAACGAACCAAAACTGCGAGTGGCTCATGTCGTCGTTTAACAAGTTTAACTACAATTTTTGTGTAGAGTGAAATCTACCATCTTTTTAATAATAATAATAATAATAATAATAATAATAATAATAATAATAAGAAGAAGAAGAAGAAGAAAAATGATAATAATAACAACAACATAATATTTTTTTTTAATTATTAAATCAATTTTGGATCCATAATTATAGAATTTTTAAATGGAGAGAGTAGTACTCTTGAGATTGGTGAGGAGAAAAAGTGGTGGTGGCAGGAATCCAGCGTGGCGCCTTCTCAACGCACACATGTGGGCCCCTTCACGAGCGTACTACTTGTAAAGCATCCCAGGCTGGGGCCACAGTTGGCAACTGGAAATTAATTGGCTATTTTTTTTTTTTTTTCAAATCTCATAATATTGCAAGAAGGAAAATTCAAAATTGTTACCAATGATTTACACTTTTAATCAATATATATTTATTGGCTATTTTTTTCAAAGCTCATAATATTGCACTTAAATTTGGCTTGAGAATGGCCATAAAAATATATCCTATTGAAAATAAATTCCTATTAGTAAAAAATTTAGCCATAAAAAAATCATATTAACGAAACATACTATTATTATAAACATTTCATTAAAAATCACATATATTTTTCATTCCACCTAAATAATTAATGAACATCAGTATTAGTGTGTGCGTCACAATTTGTAATTTTGGAATTTCCTATCAATAATTCTTTTTGCCATTAAAATATGGACAAGATAAACTGAAATCGATGCCACGTCAGCATATTGATTGACGGGTAATGGTCATTTAGCCAAAAGGCACCGCCCTCTTTCACATCTCATTTAGCATTTTTGGCCATAGTCCAAATTTAATCAAGTGCTTATTGCTATTTTTCACTTGCAACTGTTAATAACCTTCTTTAAAAAACATTATTTTTCACTTGCAACTGTTTATTTTATAGTTTCAACTCTCATTATATAAGTGGAAATTAATGAAACGAAAATGGAAAATATTACGTATAATATAGTGATGACATTATTTCTCTCTCAGTATAATATAAATAAATACATAAAATAATAAATATATTTAATAGCTGATAGTGATTGTATAAGATTGTAGACATCGAAATTTTAATATTTTATTAATTAATGTCATTATTTATTTTGGGACATAAATCTAAGATAAATAAGATATTTAATTAATAAAGTAAATATTTCTTGTCCACCAAGTCAAATCTTAGGATAAGGAAGGAGATTATATCAAATCTTAGGATAAGGAAAGAGATTATATCAAATCAAGAAGGACCAATCAAATTGATGTCTTCTTCTCCAAGACTCTCTATCCTACACCTATAAATAGGGCTCACAAATCACACCTCAAACACCCCAAACATCTCAAACACCCAAATCACACCTCAAACACCTGAAACACCTCAAAAAAATCCAATACCTCATAAAAAAAAGTCTCAATTCAAAGAGCTCTCAATAATTCTCTTGAAGATCCAAAGGTGTTTTTGAATATCGACGACATTCAAGTTAAAGATCCATGAAGAGAAGAATCAGAAGATACATATAGAAATTGTACTCGCATATCGTTTGATCAATATATTTTCAAGTTGTACAAAAGTCTTATGTTTTTCATAAAATTTGTTGTTACAAAGATGATAACTATCTGTCACAGATAGTTAAATTATCGATTTCAACTAGATAATTGAATTGCATAATTATTCAAAGTGTTTGGTAAATAATTAGTTGTTTGAAATATAAAACAACTTACTTTATCATCTTATATTATGAAAAGCTCATGATATTTTTTTCTTGGATTGAAATTAACTTTTTGGATAAAAAAAAATTATTTCATGTTACTAATAATTAACTTAAAGATTATGGTAAAACTTCTAACTTACCTCAAGCCCTAATTTAGAACAGAGATGCTGATTAAAAACAATATTAACTAATTCTTGCATGATTCCGGCATGCTGCATCGTTTTAGTTCGATGAATTCTTCAATATTATGACTATTCAGTTTTGCTATGAAGCATAGTGGAGCCAACCTTCTATATACAACAAATAAACTATACCATATTATCTGATTACTTAAATGAATACTAATAATTTTATTAATATGGTATGATTTACTTGTTGTATATAGAAGGTTGACTCTATTATGAAGTCAACTGTTGACTTTATAGCAAAACTGACTATTACTCATGGTAAGTCTATCATTCTTAATTTTATGTGTAATTGTAACTTATGAAGGAATAAAGTATCAACAAAGCAATCAATTCCAATTAAGATCACATTGATTGTCAAAATTTAAAACTCTGTAATTTTTCAAGGCTTTTAGGTACATAATTTGCGGAAAAAAAGCACAAACATTCAACAATGAAAAAGAAAAGATAGAAACGGCTCGATTATTAATGGAGCTTTTGCATGTGAAAAATCTTAGGAATTTGATTCATGTAATGATATTATGTACCGAAATTTGAAGACCGTTACTCAGATTTCCCGAAATTTGAAGTCTCACAAATCGTAATCGTAATCTCCACGGCTTTTGCAACATCATATGATATTGTAATTTTGTGCTTTTAATGATAGTATATATTTTTTTAATTTATTTCATCTAATAATATTGCACGATCCTAGATAATATTTTTTGTCCAAATTGTGTTCGATTATATTTTATTCGATTAGATGAATGACAGGTGTCGATAATGTTGTTATTATTGTACAATTTATTAAACTAGTCACATGCAAAATTTCACTCCAGTTATACATCGATAAACGCGTAATAACGATAAATATTTTTATTTATTTGGATAGCTTTTAAACAAACCATAACATATTAATCACACA